TATTACTGCTCTTGCTAACCGTTTCAGTCTCAAGGATCTGGGAACTCTCTCCTACTTTCTCGGCCTTGAGGCCACTCACACTGCTCATGGTCTTCATCTCACTCAAGAGAAATACATATGTGATCTCCTGGTTCGTACTAATATGCATTCTGCCTCGCCGGCTCCTACACCCAGTTCTCCGACCGAATCTCTCTCACTCTCTGATGGATCTCCACCTCATGATGCATCTGAATATCGCAGTGTATTGGGTGCCTTGCAGTACCTATCATTCACTCGACCTGATATTAGTTTTATTGTAAACAAGCTGGCTCAATTCATGCACGCTCCTACTACAAAACACTGGCAGGCTGTCAAACGTGTTCTACGTTATCTTCAAGGAACTTCACATTTTGGTGTTTTCATCTCGGCCAAATCACCCCTATCACTTCATGCCTTCGCTGATGCCGACTGGGCGGGTGATTATGATACTCGTCGTTCTACCTCGGCATATGTCGTATTTCTTGGTGCTACCCCTATCAGCTGGAGCTCAAAGAAACAAACTACTGTTGCACGATCATCTACTGAAGCGGAATATAGAGCCATTGCCTCTGTTTCTGCAGAGCTCACCTGGTTACGACATCTGCTTGTTGAACTACACTATCCTCTTCGCATGACTCCTACAGTTTTCTGTGACAATGTGAGTGCTACATATGTCTGTGCTAATCCGGTTTTCCACTCTCGTATGAAGCATGTTGCTATCGACTTTCACTTTGTTCGTGAACAAATTCGAAATGGCCTCCTTCGTGTCACACATGTTCATACCAAGGATCAACTGGCAGACTCTCTTACAAAATCCTTGGCACGCCAACTCTTCCAGACTCATCGCTCCAAGCTCGGCATCCTGCCAGGACCGCCTCGCTTGCGGGGGCGTGATAAATTATAATGTTATTCTTATCATTGTATTTATCTAAATACGTGTGGATATTATTTAGCTGAACAACCTATACCTATCCGGCTAATATACCGGATCACTAACTGCCTGCTCTTATCACTGCAGCTATGCCTGCATATGTAATAGTATATAAATCACAAACATCATATGAATAAATTTATCTTTGATTGTTTGCACCATATAACTCTTTAGAAACAGTGTCAAAACAGTAAAATTTACCCCCCGGTAAATTTATTTCCTTGATATGTGTGTAGGTCAAACCGGAAACATTCCAACGGGACGGAGGGAGTAGTAAAAGAGTAAATTCCACTTTTTGTTTTACTAGTATTGCACCAATTCCAAATTGGTTCACGTCTTTGAGTTTTATCACGTTTGATACATTTTTATTGTGTTTCCCTCATATAATGTCCTTCCGGCAATGTTTCTGGTCTGGTGGTTAAAATCGATGTGCCACAAATGGTCAAGAAACGTTAGTCAAGGCGTCATTCGTTCATGCTTTTTGGGAGGGCCGAGAGGAGCGTGTTGAGGTTTTTGTGGTTTGTGTTATTTTGGATGTAGTTTTTTCCGCAGATATGGTATTCATAGTTCATATCTATGTTATCATCCGCGGCGGCAATGGCGACGGAAAAAGGAGGTAATGAAGAGAGAATGAGGAGGACGAAAAGTCGTTTCTGCAAATCCATGACTCAATAGCTGCGAGGAACAATCAACGCTGGGAAATGCAAAGGAGTACAATAGTCTATGGAGTACTTTATTACTACTACTCCGTATTAAAATAGAGAATTTCAATTAAAATTTAATTGTACAAAAATTTATATTACCTCCATTCCCTTTTAATTGCTACATTGGTTTTTTTTACACTAATCACATATTCTGTTTTGACTATATTTTATTAATTAATGTATTGTAAATTAATTTTTTAAAAAATATTGTTAAATTCTTCTGATTCTAAATTTTCAAAATATGAATTTATTAAAATTTTTATTAATAGGGAATGAAAGATATTAATGATCAAACTTGTATGTTAGCAAATGTGAAATGTTTACTGTTGCAATTAAAAGGGAAGGATGAAGTATATTCTACCGGTCTACCACACATAAGATACTTGTGAAAAAAGGACAAGATGAGGTTAGGTCATGTTTAAACATATCGGATAAAATTAGCCATACTAAATAATCAGACAAGACTTCAACCATTAAATGCTACGTATACATTCAAAACATCACAAGTCCAACCATTAAAAATCAATTTTGCTTTGGGTACACACTTATCATACACACACATACACACTATAAATAGCCTAAAAAATTACTTTTTTTTTACCCCCCTCTCCTACCACACGTGCAAAACAGAGTCAGCAAAACAACCCCACCCTCCCTCCTCCCTTCCCGCTTCTTGCTTTCTTTCTTCTTCCCGCAACAGCACCCAACTGCACAATTGGTTTGTTCTTCTCTTCAAACCAATGGATTTTGGTGGTATTGTGAACGAAACCATCATTGATACTACCGTGGACGACTTTTGGGCCGATTGGGATCAAACGATCGGTGGTTCTCGAGTTGAAGGACAAATTCCGGTGGCGGCGGAAGTTGATGGCGACTCGGCGGCGGCCGCCATGGACGACGTCCCTGAGCTTGGTATGAGTTCGTTTTGATTTCATTTGCTTTAAAGTAAATATATATGTGTTTGTTCTTCACAGACAATTGACTGTATTTGTGTAGTGTTTATGTGAATTGTATAATATGTCTGTGTGTATGTTTCAGTTGTCTGAGTGTTATTATACAACTGTGAAGTGTATTGACTTTTGTCTGTGTAAATAAAGTTTTAAATTTACTTATGTCTGTGAGTACATGTACTTCTGTTTGAAATGTCTGTGTGTAAATATAATTGTGTCTGTGTGTATATATACTTCTGTCTGTGCGTAAATAGACCACTGCCTATGTGCTTAAATATACTTATGTCTGTGCATGTTGGTCAGATGGAGAAATGAAAGAATTGCCCTAAATAGGATTAAAACATGGTTAAAATTCCAAAATAAGACTTCATGTTTTATATTCCCTAAATAGGACTAAACATTACCATTATACCCTTATATAATTAAATCCCCAATCCTTTGCTCATCAAAGTCAGGTATTCCTCTGTCATCGATCGCAACTCAACTCCATCATCGAAGCTCAAGTGCGCACCAGACTACCAGAGCATCTCTTCGTTGGTTTTTCTCCTACCATCGTCGTCTCCCTTCGCCGCCTCCCTTTGTTGCCTCCCTTTGCCGCCGGTATGACATCTATTGTCACTGTCTGATTTCGTTGATTTCGACCGCCAAATCAATAGTAGGTAATTGGTTCTTTTCCTTCTTATCTCTTCTTCTTCTTCTCCTTGTTCTTCTTCTTCTTTTTCTTTTCTTCCTTTTCTCATCTTCTTCTAGGTCCTCTGTATTTTAATATTTCTGGATTTAAATTTTAATTAATTTAGCAATTTTGAACCTCGGAATGCAGATTCCCAGAAAATGACACTTCTTGAATCTGAGAATGTCAAACTTATTGGCTATTTGAAAAAAATGCCACTTTTATGACAGTATGCTTATAAAGATGACAATCTCAGTTTGACATAAAATGACATTTTCGTATAAAAGATGACATTTTTTACTGTAAAAAGATGACATTTTCTATTGTAAAAAGATGACATTTTCACATTGATAGTTGTGACATTTTCATAGGAAATTATGCAATCATCCTATAAAAAGATGACATAAAAGTGGCATTCTCAGATCCAAAAAGTGAAATTAATCATTTCTTTCACTGGTTTTTTCATAGAAATTTGACTCTTAATTTGAAATTTCAAAATCAAAAATTTTATTTAGAATTTTGAAAGTAATCAAAGTAATAGACTAAACAAAAAAAAACAGAGAGCCAGGAATAAGATGGAGCAGGAAGAAGAAAGTAGTGAAGAAGGAGGAGAAGGGACTTGCCAATAGCGGAGGTGGTATGGACGAAGGGTGGCAACAACTATGGTTCCTGGAGGATGGCTGTCGCATCATTGTGGTTCCTGGAGGATGACTACCGCGCATCTCTGCGATACGACGGGAACTTGGAGGGCTAATTTTGTCAAACTGCTAAATTTTAATCCTAAAAACGTTCAAAAAACATGATGGTCCTAATTTTGCATTTTGTCATTGTTTTAGTCCCATTTAGGGAATTTTCTCATGGAGAAATTCAGCAAAATGAGAGTGGCGTTGGTTCTATAAAAGCTCCAGAGGTTGGTATGGAATTTGATAGCAAAGAAGCGGTGTATGATTTTTACAAAACATATGGGAAGCGTTTAGGGTTTCCCGTAAGAACTAGGAGTACCACCAAACACAAAAATGGGGTGGATATAGTTGGAGTGTTACTAGAGTGTTCTCATGCCGGTAGTAGATCTAGTAGGTCAAAAAATCAATTGAAGCCTCAACCTTCAATGCAAATGGGGTGCGGAGCAAGAATACGAGCACACACAAATTATGAGGGACGTTGGGAAATATCAAAAATCTGCCATGATCATACCCATCCCATGAGCCCAACAAAGGCTCGCCTATTCCGGTGCCATAGGACTTTGACTCCCCAAGTAATGAGGCAAATTGCAATCAACGATGTCGCCGGAATACGACTTCATAAGACCTTCAATGCAGCCGTTGTTGAAGCCGGTGGATATGACCAACTTCCTTTTATTGAAAAAGATTGTAGGAACTACATTTAAAAGGTAAGACAACTTAGGTTAGCGAGTGGTGATGCCATGGCAATTCAAGAGTTCTTTGCTAAAATGCAAGCTCAATGCCCCAGAATTTTCTTTGTCCTTGACTTAGATGACGAATCTCGATTGCGTAATGTGTTTTGGGCCGACAACGGATGTAGATATGCGTACAAAGAGTTTGGAGATGTCGTCACTTTTGACACGACCTACCTCACGAATCGGTATGACATGGCTTTTGCACCTTTTGTGGGAGTGAGCATTTAAAAAGCTGTCTGGGAAGGACATAAAGTGACTCTGAGCATTTAAAAAGCTGTATGGGAAGGACAGCAAGTGTCTGGGATCATACCTGTAGGACCAATGGCAACCCGTAAACCGAAAACTTGGCGTTTTTATATTCAGGGTTGTTAGCCTTACTGTCCAAGAACTTCGTTGGCTGCCCATCAAGAAGACCCTTCAGATGTGTGACAAGCAAGTGGTAAGCATCTCTTGACCACGGTTCCTTCTTGAACTCCTCAAAGTCGTTCGCAAGCTGAATCGACCTCCGGTTGATCCTCGTTGTTCTGTCTCTTCCCATCAACACGTTCTCAACTACGAAGAGGGATGCAAACTTCACCCCTAGCATACCATTCCTTTTTTTATTTCCACCTAACCATTGAACCTTCTCCTTCATCATCTGGAAAGTGATATCCAGTGATCCATGAAAGTATGTATTAGCAATCTCTCCTGGTTCTTCCTCTTCTTCGGCTTGTTCATCATCGTTGTCACTATCTTCAGCCACAACAGGCCTCGGGGCTGCCACAGGTAATCCGGTTATGCGGCAGAAGTCGTTGTACGTGAACTCTATAAGTTTACCCTCAACATTGAACCAAAGCTCATCATCGGGTTGCTGCTTCACCAGCCGTAACAACAACATGTGGACTATTTGGCCACAAAACTGGATATCAGGAATATCAATAAAGTGACCCCATGGTGTCTGCCGGAAAATTTTCAATTGTTTCTTAGATAGAATCGCATGAATGTACTTAGAAGCACATTTCACATCCGAGCACACAGAATACTGTGCAGGGAAATGCTTGCTCAAAGGAATCTGGAGTTGAAGTGCCCTATCATTGTAAGAAAATAAACCATAAGTACACAGACATATGTCAAATTACACAGACAAGCTTTCAGTTACATACAGACAAACAATCACGCACATAGACATATGTTTTATTTGCACCTGCTTTTGTCTTATAGCATTGTGTAGCAGTACAGACATCATATTAGTCACACAAACATATCAAAGAGTAATACAGACAATCATATAAGTCTTCACAGACAAATAGAGGCAGGGCCAATTACATATACGCTCACACAGACAAGCACTTAGACAAATCTATCTTCATATAAGTCTTCACAGACAAATAAAGGATACATACCTTTCGGCCATGGTTGATAGCGGGGTTCGCACCATTTTCGACGGAGACCGGGAGGAGGGTTCGCAGCTTCGAATGCGCAGCGACAACAGTCTTAGACTGTGGTTGACGGGGTTAGCGGGGTGGAGGGTTTCCTTCGACGGGGGGTTACAGGGGAGAAGGAGGCTGGTCTTCGACGGGGTTAGCGGGGTCGAGGGTTTCGAACGTCGGGGGGGTTACAGAGGAGAAGGCTGGTCTTCATCGGGGGATAATCGGAAGAAACAGAGCAAGGGAGAGGGGAAGCAACGGAGAAGGTGGGGGTGGGGGAAAAATTTGGAGCGGGTGTTTTTTTGAAGTGTTTTGAAATTGGTTGAGGGGAAAGGGGGGTAAATTATTTTTGGGGATATTTATAGTGTGTATGTGTGTGTATAGAAAGTGTGTAACAATAGACTTTTTGATTAAAAATTGAAATTTTCAGATTTGTTTACGAAATTCTAACTTATCAACTATTTCAATTAAATGTTGATAATCATAATGCTAAATTACTAATTATGTCATACTCATCACTCCGATTAAATTTTTTTTTGAACGAACTCCGATTAAGTTTTTATTTTTTGGGAAAAACTCCAATTAAGTTAAACAATACAGATTTATTCAAGTGTTTGATTTTTCATCATCCGAATTATACTTTGCAAGTACAACTACAAGTAGAACGTGTTTGGATTGAAGACTTTGGACTTTTAACCCATCTTCTTAAAAATAACGATTTGATTCAATACCATCACGAACAATACAAAGTTCATTACAGTATTAGAACTTTATTGTTCCTATGAGTAGGACTTTTAACCCATCTCCCAGTCTCATCAAATCTATAACACACCTATTTTCTACTCATTACGAAATAAAAACTAATGAGCACATATTGCTGCTCTAATGCTGATCAATTCAAGAAGAATAGCATATTCCTTCCATTGTATGAACCATGTTATTATAAATTGAGTCAGGTTTGATAAAATAATTTATTTAAATGTTTGAGTTTATTACTTTAATATAATTTGACTTTAATTAGTGCTAAAAATGATCTCAATGTATATTATGGACTACGTGTTTACCTACAAATTTATAATTTTTTTTATACAAATCAAATTTTCCCACTCACATATACGGAGTATTTCATATGTCAATATGAATGATAACTTACCGGTAAGCCGCTAGTGATATTAACGAGAACAGAGAGTTTGATACAATGATACTTATAGAGAGAGCTAGCAATTTGATAGTAATGATTTTGAACCATTTACACCTACCTCCAAGGAAGGTATTTATTGGAGAAATGCGGGTTGTGCTCCAAGGCTTTAGGTCTGGAAGACTCAATTACAATAATGAGTCACTAAATCTATGATACATGAGGTGAATTATTTTATTAAGTATGCAACAATGTGAATGTTATATGCTAGATGTTCTAGGATGAGGTGTCCATGCGGAGGGGGCTATGCGGGTTATTATGATCCAGTGACTTGTGCTATGATTTTCCTAAACTCCTAGTGGTTTTCATATTGTCGGGTCCCGTCTGCGCGAGGGGCTCATCCGAGGTGGACAATCAATAGTTTGCGGGGGGATTTGTATATCCTTGAGTATGTGGGCCGTGGGTTGATAGATATTGAGATATCCGATTATATATTATTGGGAATATTATTTAGAGCAAGCGAGAAGAAGGGTGAACAATGTAGATGTATTATAAAAAAACGAAGTGCTTAGGTTACATGACCCAAGGGATCTATTTGTAGGGAAAATTCAGGTGTGGGCTTCTAATATATGGGCCAAACAAGCCCGGTTACATAAAAGGGTTAATAATGAAAAATGTTGATCTAAAATACTCAAATAATAATATTAGTGTAAACTAATGCAAATATCATCCACCGATGTGGGTTGCTGTCTGGGCCCAATAGTTGGCAGATTGGAGTCCAATACAATATAATCTATCAGTGAGAGAATACAATTTTCACAATTCAAACCTGTGAAACATATCATGAAGTTTAGTATCTATTTTAGTACAAATATATATGGCAACAAAGTTGATGGGGAGTAAATATGCATATAAATTTGTTCACCTACATAGTAGTATCCTGGCACTAAAATTGGTTCAATACCCAATGATTATTTTTAGCCAAATTAAGAGCCCGTTTGATAACCATGATTTTTGGCTTTTCAGGCTTACCAATCAACTTTTTCATCAAACACGTAAATTTTGATTTCACGCGCTGAATTATGTAATAATAAGAAAAAGTAAGGTTAGAGTTACTTTTTTGGCTGTATTGGCTGAAATTAGTGCACATAACCATTTTAGCTATTTTTCATATAATATCTTCTTTATTTTATTAATAAAATGTATTTTAGATATTTTTCCCCACAAATCAGCAGAATCAACCAATACAGACACTTCAGCCACAACTTTATAAATTTCAGGAGAATCAACCGATACAGCCGATTTGGGTGTTACCAAATGGGTCATAACAATAACCGCCCTAACAGGTAACAAGCATAATTGTGGATAACATTAGGTTAAATGTGTTACTAATCTTTCAACAAAAAAGGATTATCAATATATTTTACATAGTTTAGTGTATTGTCATTAAATAATTAATATATATGAATTTAATTCAAACTAAAAAATAAAGCTTACTAGTATGTGCGCGCGTCTTTATATATATTTTCCTATGAACTTTTTTTAAATCTTTGAACAATTTTTTTTGATCATAAAATGAAAAACAAAGATTGAACAAAAAAATTATATATGCAAATATGCAATTTTAATAATTCAGTAATGTAAATTATTAATGAGAAATATTTAATAATTAATTGTACAAGTATCAATGCAAAGTAAATGAGTTGATTACAGGTGGGTAATGAGATATATGCAATGTATAAAATTTTGTCACGATAAATGATAATCCATTAAGTTTTCCATGGTTCTTAAAAGAAAAGCCCCGATGCCAATAAATAGTCGAAGAGACCGAGGGGGCAGATAAAGGAAAAGCAAAGGTAAAAAAGAAAAGTAAAAAAGTACGAGTATTTATGTGCTTTAAGATGGTCATATTTGTCACATTAAACACAAGTATTAATAAATATTCCAAAAATGATACAGAGCAACTGACATTGAGAAAGTATTAGATATTCGGTTTAACAAATGTAGCTAGCCTATTGCAGTGAACACTATTTACTTCGAATCTGCGATCAACTATTTATAGATCCCAAATGAAAAAAGAGTTATTTGAAAAAAAGGAGAAAACAATTGTACTTACTTTAACTACATTATGTTAATTGAGTCACATAATAACATTTGGCTTTATTCTAGCCTATCTCTCACGTTAAGCATGTGAGTGTCAATATCGGATGGTATAATTCATAGTGAATATTGCATTTTTGTAATGGCAAATGTGAATTCTTATCATTGAGCTAAATTTGTCATTAATCCTTCAATCTTGCTTTGGTATTCATCTTTTCAACTACTCATTCAACAAGCACCAACCTTAGAGTTCGAATTTCATGATTAACATTGTCCACTATACTGGAAATTTGGAACTATACTGTATCTATTCACATTTTATCTTAGTTTGTTCTGATGTGATTTGTCTAATTTGATCTTTGTCTAAAATAAGCCAAAGTGAAAAGTGGATCTAATCTTATATTAAATAATAATTGAACCTATGCATACATGTACAGAGTATATGTTTTAGGAACGGGTTGAATAAAGATAAAATCAGACATGTTAGTTTTACTATGCTCTAGATCTATTAAAAATATTTCAATAGGACATTTTTCACACATAAGTTTCTAGTTGCATCACTGAATGTACCATTTTTTATTAGATCGTTGTGTTTCCCACATGATAAAGATTAATAACAAGTTTACACAAACAAGTTTCAATGACAAAAGTTTCAACTGTAATTTTGTTCAATGAATGGCGTCATGGATGCATTTATGACAATATGTATCACCATATTTCAACCCTCGAGACAAACTTACACTCGCAGGGCACGAATTTTGGGCACTTTGCGAATTTGTCACATAAGTTTGCATGAGTAACTTTGTTACCGAAAATGACATGTCAATATGATTTCTCTTGACTTATAATTCATTATCATGAGTATTGTGTGACAAATTGTCACCCCGCTTTTTTATGACCAAATTAATTTGTTTTGTACTGAGGTGTGCATATGCCCTTTCTTTCGATACCGATTAGGCAACTGCTTAATACAACCTATTCTGTATGCCTGTCTGGCGTGGTCTATGATTACAAAACAACACAACCTTACACAGTTTTGAGATAATTACTCAAGTAAGACAAAATATGAAACGAGAACTCGATCAATATTGTAGAAGTAAATGTCAATAATCCTCTTATTTTTAAAAGACTTTCCATGAAGTGAATAATGACATCATCCAACAAGAATTCCATCAATATTTAATACGTTACATTCCTTATTTTCAAACATAATGTATAGTCATTGGTATGTGAATGAATTTGTGTTTGATATAACAAATTAAGAATATTTGGATTACATTATATGTTTTTCCTTTGAACTTGCTCTATGACATATGATTTAAATTATGCAATGAGTCTAGCTTTGTATATCTACAAAAGAAAGATGATACGGAGTATTAATTAATGCACGTTCAATCTTATTATGCATTATATTTAATTTTGGTATGATTTTGTTTCTAAATATCCTACTGTTCCTTTGTGATTAATCAATGTCTACAATAATTAATCAATGTATGTATTGTCTTAATTAGAATCCGGTTGAACCTTCTGGAATTCTGTAAAGAGGGGTCACGTATGTTGAACTAAAAAAGAGTAAAATATATTTTATTAATAAAATAAAGAAAATTTTATATTAAATATACTAGTACATAATACAGAGTAATTTTCTTCAGTGAGTTCAATTAGAATGGAAGGGGATATGCTCATCCCGGGGACTCGGATAGAACAACAGAGATAGCTCAACTGATAAAGTCATAATACAGAAAGTTTTTATTACCAACGTCTAATTAGAAAGAAAGTTTTTTACCCACACGGGTAGTTCAATTGTCAAAGAGGTGAGAAAATTGGACAACTTACAAATTGAAACCCGCAACAACCGTGCGTGCACGACCTCTAGTATGCACGAATATAAGATCACTATTAAGAATTAAGATTAATTGAGTCACAATGATTTGTCTCTTCCCGGATACTCTATCAGGTCGGGTGTGGAGCCCGATTTGGGGGTTCAACCTTTTTTGGACACCAAGATCATTTGTAGTGGAGAGGTTTTAGGAGTCCAAAAAGTTAAAAATGGAACTTTTGAACTCTTAAATGTGTGTAGTGGAGGATTAGGAGATGTGTTAAAAGTGGGTAAGGGAGTTGGGGTGTTATTAATGGAGGATGAATTGACTCTTAAATGATGAGGTCATCTTTGTGTCATTAAATCTCAAATTTTTTAAAACTCTTATAAGTTTTTTATTTGTTTCCAAATTTTTCAAAAAACATATCTAGATTCATGAATTTTCGTGATCTTTCATATCATCAATATATAATATATAAAATGAAAAAAAAAATATGAAGTTTTAATCGTTGATGTTTTCCCGAGCCCAAAAAATCATGAAACACAAATTTTTAATTCATGAATCATTCACAAATAACTGAATATTTCATAATCGAACTTAACTTGAACTAAGTTCATTTTTGTTAATCGAAAAACGTTAAAAAAAGTTAATGAAATTTATTTATTTATACATCGAAATGTGTATTTTTTATTTCATAATTATTTAGTGTAAAATATTACAAGTAAAACATTACTTATAATTATTTAATTAATGATTTATTAAATTGATATGTAAAAAATATGAACGAAGTTAGAAATGTAATCATTGGACTCACCCCCCAACAAATGGTCTAATAAAGAAAGTTTGGACAAGACCGATCAAAATCCGCAGTCTCCCATAGGTGAATCTCCTCGCTGCTGAACTGAGCCGAGTGAGCTCTAGGTTGGGAATGACTCCTACTACGTAACTTTTTCGACAATTGGATTTGTTGTCAAACCAGCAAGCAGTTTGAAAGTTCTGAACTGGACAAAGGCCAGACTTGCAGCGCTTCATTCAGTTTCATGACGTCGCGCTTCCCAAGGTTAGCAGCTCTTCGTTATTTTCCCTCCATGAGGACCCTCATCACTGGCAACATTCGTTATCGCGGACCCCTGCTACCACTAACACTCGGGCCATTTAGTTCGACATACCCATATTTCTCAAAGAACCAATCAGTTTTCGTGCATTCATCCCCGGGGATTGGTGAGTTTCCGTTTATTGGAACTTTTAGCTTTCCAGCTGTATGTAGAAATGCCACTGTGAAACTCCTTAATCTATTCCCTAATGAAATATTTCTTTTTTATGCAAAAGTATGAACCTTTCATCATTTTCAAATGTGAACTTTGTATTATAACGGTTTATTTGAATCATGTGCGTCGATACAATATTCAACTATTCTTATGCTGCTCGGACATGCTCACTCGTGTTACGATCATCTATACACCAGTATATCAGTATTTGATTAGAGTAGTATGGTTTTACGGTTTATGTAAAGTTTATTTTGTTTTGAGTTTAGCTATGTACTGGCTCCACCTAGTTATGACTTGCTTGAGAAATCTGCTTCAGATTCAAGGCTAAATGGGTCTACTGATATTGAACACGAAGAATTTCAAAAATGGGGCAATGGAGGTGGCTCGTTCCATAAGTCTTCTCGTATTGATCCAAGTGCTGTCATAGAAATTGGCGCCATAGTACATTCAGAATCTGTTTTAGCTGAAAATGTTCATGTTGGTTCTGGATCCATCATTGGGCCTTCAGTTACAGTAGGGCAATCAACAAGGATAGGGTACAATTTCCTCACTTTTTGTACTATGTTTGATGTTTATTACATCCAAAATTTTCTATCTTCCAATCTGAGCTTTATATACTACGTATTATTTTACGATTTCATTTTAGTTTTGATTTATTATGATCCACATTGTATTAAATCGACTCTTGGTTTAGCTAGGTATGGTGTCGCACTCACTAATTGCACAGTTGGTGATTTTTGTCTTGTTCACAGTGGTGTGTGCGTTGGACAGGATGGTAATGCTGACTCAAAGATTAAATTGACATAACTGATAATATGCCAACTATTGTCATCTTAAAATTTTAACCATCAACATCTAAGAGTTTATATTATAACAGGTTTTGGATTTTTTGTGGATGAACAAGGAAACATGGTGAAGAAGCCTCAGGTTTTATACTTTTATATGCTGGCATAAACATATATTTTTCTCTTTGTATACTTGTGTAGTATTTATGAAAATATCAGTACTTTGAATTTATGAAAAAATTGATGGATATTTCTTATTCAATATAGAACTATTTTAGAAAAAGAGAGCTTCGTTTTGTAAGATCTTATTGAAAAAGTATCATCCCACTTCATGTAAAAAAGGCAATATCAGATATTTCAAGGAATTCTGATGGAAATTTCGAAAATCGCGAGATATTTCAATTTTTCATTATTGGGTGCCCATTTAAAATTCATTAACTGCCCATCTAAAAGTACATAAATACAAAACTTAATTTGATGAAGTGATCAAGGGAACACATATTTCCCCTTGCTTGCAATATGCAATATTTGCCCTTTTTAGTTTTTGAGCCATGCATCACAAATTTAACAGTATTGTTGAATTTCATCTTCAGAACCTGAGAGTGAGGATAGGGAACCATGTAGAGATTGGTGCAAATTCATGCATTGATAAGGGCAGGTAAAATTAGATTTCATTAACATATATTGAATTAAGTGTGCCCTTTCTTTCTGATTGATTTTGATCATTTAACTTACGGGGAGTCCAGTTGGAGGGATACTGTAATTGGAGATCATTCGAAGATAGATAATTTGGTTCAGGTATCTCAAATTTATCTTCACAGTTCACTGTCTAACACTCTTAACTTTGAGAATCCCAACGTACTCAAGTTTCCAGATAGGTCACAATGTGGTTGTTGGAAATAACTGCATACTCTGTGGACAAGTTGGTATTGCTGGCTCAGCAACGTACATTTCTTTTCTCTCTCACTCTCTCTATATACATAACACACATATATGTGCTTTAGTATAAAAAAAATAAAAAGGGCATCATTGAATTTAGAAAATCTGATATCACCTTATTCAAAATTTGATTGCTTTCATTAATTTAAGAGTTTTAGAATCTTCTTTCAGCATAGGGGACTATGTAACTATGGGGGGAAGAGCTGCAGTTCGTGATCATGTATGCGTTGCTTCAAAGGTAATTATTGTCAAATTTAACATATTCTTTAACTGCTGAATGAATGTGATCTACGTTTCCATCTAGAATTCTGAAATTCATTTTTGTGATGCTTTATTGTAATTGTTGCTTATCCTTTAGGGTTCATAATAATTATTTTAAGGTACAGGTCAGGTTAGCGGCTAACAGTTGTGTTACGAAGAATATAAATGAGCCTGGGGACTATGGTGGCTTCCCTGCTGTAAGGATGGAAAGATATGAATGAGCCAGTTTTGGTGGTTATTTTCATATTTGCTTTAAAAATGTAAGTATTTTTGCTGCGGCATCTTTAATACTTGTTTGGGGATTGCTATTACAGATTCCTGTTCATCAGTGGCGAAGACAAGTTGCTGCCCACCGCCGGTCCTCAAAGTAGGGATCCATTGGTCCAGAAGGCCAATTTATGTAAGACATCGAGGGATAAAATACCTTCATACCTTCTGTCTGAATATAAATTATTTTTGAAAACGTGTCCTGAAAATATCTGTTTAATAAATTTCTAAAAATAGTCTCAACTTAAACGATGACAACCATTGTTTAGGAGGATATGAACTCAGTAATGTAATAAACTAAAGAAGTATATACATTAAAACATGTTCTTTAAGAGAGAAGCAAAAGGAAATCAACGAAACACAGATGCATCATGGTTTGCGATCCACTTCAATGGAATATGTATTATGCAAGATTTTACCTTGTTGACATTCATAACTTCATAAAGTTGATTTTTTGTTGTTGAAGAAGAGAGTGCCATTCTCCAGTTCTGTGAGGACTAATTGTTATGTTGTGTACATGTGCTTCATAATGCATCTTGTGATACTTCGTTCTCCATTTCAATATCTTATACTGAACTGTTGTCTCCATGCCAATAACAAAACTTACATTTCCACCTCTGATCTTTTGTGAAAACTGATGTCGGTCAACTCTCATTAGTACAGCCCGTGTAGTATTATTCTTGTGTAAAGTCTGATTGAAGCCTGGGATGTAATTCTTTGCTACAATGATTCCAGTGTAGTTGACAGTGACATAGATATCACTGTAGTATACCGTCATGCCCTTGTTGTTGGGATTGAAGATTTCAATGCCTAACATGACAGAAGTGCTTCGAGAACCTGTGTTGTTTGTAGTTGTAGAAGTTTTGATGTCTGAAGCAAGAACACGGAGATCAGCTATGGTGAAGGTTGGATATCTGGGGATTAGAGTAAGCAATATGAGTAGAGATGTCAAAATCCAAACTGTCGCAACTTGAAAGTACCACCAATAGATCCGAGATTTTTCTTTGTCTTGTTTTCTGCATGCCATTTTGGGCTCTATTGGGTTCATGATATTGCAGAGAGGTATGATTATGCTGAGTTGCTAAGTGTGTTTCTTTCTTGAATGTTTTATACTTGTCATTCTTAGTTTCCTTAATGTTAAAGGTATAATTTTAATTTTGTAATAACTAATCACCTTTCTATTGTTTCTCAATTGCCTGATTCCTGCAAAAAAAAAAAAACTCATTCCCCTTTTTCATCTCCCCATGGGCTTGGTGCACTTTTAAGAAAGTGAAAAATAGTATCCTTAGAATGTTCTTCAGCGAAAAAGAAATGCTATCCACCGCCGGATCTGTTTTCCATAGAAAAGTGAAGATAAATTTAGGATGAATGAAGTAAACAAGAAAATAATGAAGGTAAAAAAGTAATATTTTTGCGTGAATTTAGGAACCTAGCAAATTATTTGAAACTTGTCAACTTAACCACCAATATAAAAATTGGTCAGAATTATAGTCAAACTTTTTTAATGACTTCGAAATGTGCCTCAAACTTGCGTGGTAATTATTTATTTCTTTCCAACTTGAACTTCATATTGCTTTAAGCGCAAATAGTTGAGTGTAAATTGTTGCAACTTTCAAGCAATTAGTCCCTTTTTCTAAGAGTAAAGTTTTGACGTGTCTTTATCTTTCTTTACATTTTAATTTGTTAATGGACCTTAGCTTTCTAGCTTTTTCTTCTTGCACTTCCTTTCATACTTCATTCTTAAGAATGCCTAGATGTAAACTGCAAGTAGAAGGGTTTTTATTTTCAATATCTCTGAGTTTGAGCAACTCTATTACTGCATAGTTGTGTAAAAGTTATAATTGTGGTTATGCGTGCTGACAGAAAAATCGATCCTGAATGTTCATAAATGGCCCATAGCTCTTTTCTTTGGTAAGAAGAAAAGAAAAGATTATATGTAGCTTATCAATGGTCTAATTGATGTAAATACACACTATATTGGAGATTTGGAGTGAAGGAACTTTAATTCAATGCAAAACCAGATTATATGTTTGTTAGTACTTTACTATTAAGAGAACCAAACGCAACATTTGTAAGAAACAAATTTATCCTTATGCCTCTCTGCAAGCAAATCCAAGTCCAAATCAACGAACAATTACAATTTAAAGAAAAGCAGGAATTGAAATTTGCCACACCAAAAACAAACTCGTTAAAAAATTTAAAACTTTACTTGAGGAAATTAGCTAAAATAGACTGCACATCTCCTTCCTCTGTAGGCTGATGTTATCATGCCATCTTTCCTGACCTCGACCGGACAATTAGCATGCATCCTGTGGCGCTTACTTTCCCATGCCGTATTCACTTTGAATGTAATCACTGATGTTAATTGCACCTGGAAACGCACAAGTCCTCTTGACTGCCGTTCGCCCAAAAGCCGCTGCCAGATTTTGTTGGTCACCGTCAAAGAAGAACCAGTCAGCACACCTGCGAGCACGGTTGTGTTCTTTGGTGATTGATAGAACGGGAGTAACAGAGGCGCCCCGCCTATACTTTGGTCTTGATAGACCAATGTGAGCCGCATGCCATCATAGTCAAACTGGACTCCTTGGTTGGAGTTTCGTACGGTGACATTGAAGATGATCTTGGCATCTTGGAACCCATTCTCTTGGGCTAGACCCGGGATGGAGAAATCTTCGATGAATACTCTTGGCCGATGGGGCCGGAGGTTTAGCCATAAAATGAACAATATGATGCCCACAATACCAAGAAGGCCTAAGAAAAGGGTGCAAATGATCTTAGACAGCCTTGTTGTTAGGCTTTCTTTCACTCGGTGCGCATAATACCGAACCGTGCGGTTGCGTTTCAGATTGCCATCTGAGGTTGGGGCTCCGTGGTGGATGGGCAAGCGGCTGTCGGCATAATTGTTCATTTCTTTAAATTTTATTTGGCCGGAGCACAAGCACTGTATATGGCCAGTGACGTTTATATGCATACATATATATATATGTTGGAGAAAGTAGTCTGAAATTTAGGTGGCTGAGGTGCAAAGTAATGCGACAGGTATGTCTTGGTCCTGTGGAGAAAGAAACGTATACATACATTCCCTGGAAGAGAAGCAAGACTAATGATAAATGGAATAATATTGCTCTGCTCTACTTGAAGGATTCTTGCAGTGTTGATGGATACTTGCCAAATTTAAGTTTTAACCACCCTGGTGTGGCCAAGAGCCCTAAGCCGGACAAAAGTGTTGAAGTTTTCAATATAGTGAGTTTGGTGCGATTTCACTTTGATGGTAGAGCCTTAGTGGTAAGGTCTATGTACTTCAGAATCCAACTTTAAAATGGTTGGAATTAGGCATGGGCACGAGTCGGGTGAGTTGAGATTATCTACGGAGTATAAATTTTTATGAACTATCGGTTCTAATAAACAAGTAAGTTCGGACTGAGTATATCAAGTTTCCTAATAGGAATCGAATTTGACTCAACCCGTTTGAACTGAGTCGTTCATTTCGGATTCTCATTTCCTCTCTGCCAAAATTAGTTACTACTATGCAAACAAAGTAGCTGATAGGTAATGAAATGAAATAATGACTAGAATAATATTACTACTAAAATATATCTAACTTCAATTTTAGAAAAAAATATGACTAAAGATGATATTAAATGTCTAAACAGCCACCTAAATAACAAATCTAAAACTCTAATTCCCAAACCATTTCCCAACGTAACCTAGCGGCGTCTTCGTCAATGGAAATTAATCATATGGTCATGACTCTCATGAGGGTTTCAAATAGAGGACGAGTAAAAGACTTAAGTGTTGGGGAGTTGATTGCATTGATTTTTGAGTGTTTATATTTTAACTTTTAATTAGTTTTTACGGTGTGTTGTTGGGGTAATTGCACATTAACGGTGGAGATTTCCTAATAGTTATACATTAAAAAACGAATTGAAATAAATTTGTAAAGAAATATATTGAGTTTGAACACATTTTTATCTCCACGTTTCTTTCTTCAAAGTTCAAACCTCCCCTAGTTTCTCTTCAAGGTTTTCAGCATTATGTTAAAATTTTCATTCGTGCAATTCACGGAACAAAATTCATTAAAACGATATTGCATTGTATATTTATTATATTATACGTCAAGATTTCATTAAATGCAATTTGTAATTGTATGAAAATAGAATATGAGGTATTACATGTTATAATTACTAAGGGCATGTTTACTAACACATATTTTTTTCAATTTTCTATTTCTGTTTTTTTCGCTTGGCCCGATCCATCAACCTCTGACCCATATCTTTAGGCGAAATAAGTGCCAATTTTTCCACTTGTTTTTATATAAAGTAAGATGTCTGTGTTCCAAAATTCAAAGTTCTAAACAAACCCTAAAGATATTTTACTTTCTCTAGTGTGAGCACTGCTGATAAGAACGAGTCATTTTTCATTCCATAGTGAATCTTTAATGCTCCTTATTTTCTTAAATTATTGTTATACATTCTATATTAAGGACATCAGCTTTTTATATTGAGTTTTTTTCAAAAATATTATTAAAATAAAACTTATTTACACAAATATGACTTATAGTTACTAAAATGTATGTCATGGTAACTTAAGTTCAAAAAGTTGAACATAAATTACTATGATTTCATTACTACTTTAGTCACTAGTCACATTTTTGTAAATAACCTTTATTTTAGTCATAAATATATAATTATTTCTTTTAAATTACAATCAATTTTTTCATGAATAGATTAAATTATTTCTAAAAGGTGTAGCAAAATGATTTCCTCATGTGCAAAAGAACACAACACAAATAATTTAACAAGGCTAGTCTACACCTTTTAGAATTTAAACCGGTGTTTTAAGATTGGTTGGTGGTCGTTGACCGATAATGTTAGCGTATTTATCTGATAGAAATGAATGTTTTTACTTGAACTATTTTCAGTCCTAGACCAGACCAGTTCAGATAAATCAGACCAAACTTGGATAGTTATAAAATACACAGTGACCAGAGATTTACCAGATCAAACCAGTTCAGACCAGATAAGTTCAGACCAGAGCAACAAATTTCAATCAATTAAAAACATCCTAAAATTATATCAACTTAGGATTTAGGAAAATCTGATTTATCATAAAGTAATTGATCTAAATAGGACCAAAATAATAGAAAAGTTCCAAAATAGGACTCCTTGTTGATTTGTTCCTCAAATAGGACCCGAAACAGAACAAGCCTTCGAGAGGTTCAGGAATCTATTTCCGAATACTTCTTCGGAGGAATCATCAAGTGCTAGTTCTCATTCTAGCGAATCCGAAGAGTCCTTTCACATGGCTCTTGAAACAAGAACGTTGAGGGAGCTCACGGCTCCGAATCTAAATCAACAACCCTTATGTATCACTTTTCCAACTCTTGATACGGGGGTCACATTCGAGCTAAAATCTGGGCTCATCCATCTACTCCCCTCTTTCCATGGCCTACGAGGGGAAGATCCAAATAAGCACTTGTCAGAGTTCCATATTGTGTGCACAAGCATGTGCCCCAATGACGTGGCCGAGGAACAAATCAAGCTGAGAGCCTTCCCATTTTCCCTCAAAGACACCGCCAAAGATTGGTTATTTTATCTTCCCTCGGGGAGCATCAACACATGGGCTCAAATGAAAAAGAGCTTCCTTGACAGGTACTATCCCGCATCTATCTCTTCAAGTTTCAAGAAGCAAATCAGAAACATTGAGCAAGCAGATAATGAGACCTTGTATGAATATTGGGAGCGCTTTAAAAAATTATGTGTTAGTTGCTCATATCATGGATATTCAGAACAAGATCTCATCATCTACTTCTATGATGGACTTGTTGATCAAGATAGACGCATGGTGAATGCGGCATGCGGAGGGAGTATTGTTAACAAAACCCCTTCTCAAGCAAGAGACCTCATTTCGGAGTTGGCCGAAAACTCGAGACATTACAACGGAAGGTCATCATCAAAACGAGTCATGGCAGCGGAATCCAACAACTCGTTGGAGAGTCAAGTAGCCGGCTTGACTTCTTTGGTCAAAGATTTCCTTTTAAATCCAAAAACCCAAGAAGTCAAGGTCTGCGGCATCTGTTCAACGCAAGGGCATCCCACAGATTCTTGCCCGACACTACAAGAAGAGAACTCCAAGCAAGTCAATGGTTTGGGGTTCCAAGGTCAAAGGAGGTACGATCCTCAAGGCAATACCTACAACCCGGGATGGAGGGATCATCCGAATTTAAGGTACGGAAATTCTCAAACAAATCCTCCCCAACAATACATACCACAAGGCCAAACATCGAACTCGAGTATGTCCACCGAAGACATGATTCGAGCGCTGGCCGTTAATATGGGAACAATGCAGCAAAGCATGGGGCAATTCCAACAAACCATGATGCAATTCCAACATGAAACCAAGTCGAGCATTCAAAATTTGGAAACTCAAGTTAGCCAAATTTCAAATGTCGTAAGTCGACTTGAAGCAAAAGATTCGGGTAGGCTCCCCTCCCAAACTGAGCAAAACCCAAGACAACATGTCAATGCAATCATGTTGAGGAACGGTAAAAAATTGCAACCACGGGAAGTTGAGGAGGAGAAGCAAGAGCTTGATCTTGAAGAAGGCTTTCAGCAAGAAGAGGAGAAGCCAACGAAGACTAAATTCCCTCCACTATCATCATATGAACCACTCCCTCCATTCCCTGAGGCATTGAAAGACACAAGGAAGCTGAAGAATGATCGGGACATCTGCGAAACATTCGTCAATTCTGAGGTAAACATCCCACTCTCCAAACTGATCAAAAGTGTTCCCCGTTATGCAAAGTTCTTAAAGGAACTATGCACAATGAAAAAGAAAAATAAACTGGAAGGGAAACAAAAAGTTGAAGTGAGTGAACGTGTCTCGGCCATTTTTAAAAAGAAACTCCCTGAGAAATGTAGCGATCCAGGCATGTTCACTATTCCTTGCAAAATAGGGGATACCTTATTTTCTAAGGCCTTGTTGGATTTAGGAGCGTCAATAAATGTCATTCCTTTTTCCTTATATAAATCCTTACAACTCGGCCCACTACATCAAACTGGTGTAGTGATTCAACTAGCGGATCGGTCTAATACTTACCCGAAGGGTGTAGTAGAAGATGTGCTAGTAGAGGTAGAAAATTTGATTTTCCCCGTTGATTTTTATGTTTTGGAAATGGGAGATGATAACCAAACTACACCCATCCTCTTGGGTAGGCCCTTTCTGAAAACCGCAAAAACAAAAATAGACGTGGCTAATGGTTCATTAACTTTAGAGTTTGATGATCAAAAGGTAGAATTCAACATTTTTGATTCTACGAAAAAACAAATTAAAGACCAATCTCTTTGTGCTCTAAATGTTTGTGAACCACAAACCCCGAATATTTTTGTTGAGAAAAAAAATGAGAAAATCAAACTTTTTGAAAAAGAAGAATTATTCATATTTTCAAAAAAAGAATGGATCCCACCTGGGATTGAAGTGATACCAGAAAAGAAATCCCGGCCTTACTGGAGAAGGCCGAAAAGGAAAAATGAAACAAGGGATGTTCACGATCCCACTTAAAAATAAAAATAAAAAAATAACGTCGTGCCGCGACATTAAATCAAGCGCTTCTTGGGAGGCAACCCAAGTTTTTATTTTTAATTTCATTTTTTTTTTCAGTTCGTGTGTTATAATTTTTTTTCAAAAAAAAAATGAACCTGGGCTGACACCCGGCCGGGTATCTCAAACAGCCCGGTCGGGTTTATTAATAAAAAAAAGAAACACCCGGGCAACACGGCCACCGGGCTGCTAACAAAAACAAAAAAAAACATATGCCCGACCGGGGGCTTCCAAAACCCGACCGGGCTGCGCATTGTTTTGGCTCCGAACACACTGGAATGCATACCCAATCGGGTATTTCTGAAACTCGGGCGGGTACGAATTTATTTTTTAAAAAAATCAGAAAGAC